TTCCAACCCATAGCAACCCTGTATAGGGTTTTCAAGAAGCAGCTGGTGAGCTTGAACCACCGATCTTGTAGTTTAAACAACTTTGCAATCTGACACATTAGCCCACAGTGCCACACCAGGTCTCCAGATATTATGTATACACACACACACACACACACACACACACACACACACACACAAGGGGGCTTCAAAAAATTTGTGGACAACCAGAGAAAATACTGTAAATTTCCCACAAACTATTAAAATCACCTAGAATGTATTTATATGTGTACTGTATTATGCAAATACTTATTTTTAAAGCCCTCTAGATTATGTATGTAGATGTGCATAGATGTACGAGGGGACTTCAAAAATATGTGTAACGATGTTGTTGAGTGCCACTTGGTTGGATATGACTCATAGTGACCCTCTACATGGTTTTTGAGGCTGCAAATCTCTGTGGAAGCAGAAAGCCTCATCTACATATATATATATTCATGTGTTGCTTAACATTCATGATCTATTCCATGAAATAGGGCGTTCTGTGATTTGGACATTGTGCAAACACCATATTGTACACAAGCAGTCTCAGGATTATGAATGAGTTCCATTCCTGTCTTTAACTTGCATTTGTACATAAGTTTGAACAGTTAGGTATGCTGCATAGATAACATGAGTTCATCAAATATTTTTCTTTGTATACAGTATCTGGTGTACCTTTCTAAGCATAAAGGACATTGAAGAAACACTTCCAGACAGACTAAACATCTTTAACACACTGCTGTTATTGTCATGTGCCACAGAGCCAGTTCCTACTCATAGCAACCCCGTATAGGGTTTCTGAGGTGGTTTAAATCTTCGCAGGAGCAGAAAGTCTCATCGTTCTGGTGGCTGGTAGGCTTGAACTGTGGACCTTATGTTTCTATTTCCAATGCTTATTGTCTAGAGCCACCAATAACATACAATACAGTAATAAGCATAATAGTAATGCTTTGACGCACATTACAAAGTAGTGCCCTTTATTATTATGAATTATTGTATGTTGTTGTTGTTAAGTGCCGTCGAGTCGGTTCCGACTTGTAGCGACCCTGCATAGGGTTTCTGAGGAATGACTGGTGAGTTTGAACTGCTAACCCTGTGGTTTGCAGTCCAGTGCTGGTTGTACAATGTCACACCAGGAGTCTGAACCATTGTATATGTCTCCAATTTTTGGCATAAAAAGCTTTATGGGGGTTGGGACCACAAACATACAAGAGGGCTTCGAAAAATTCATGGAGAAATTTCATTGTCTTTGAATTCCATTTTTCCATGAACTTTTTGAAGCCCCTTCATGTAGGTGACTGGTACTGCCTAAGCAGATGTTATTTGGAGCCTGACTGGACTGTACTGGGATGAAGCATTGGTGCTTCCATGGTAGAATTCTCGTCTGCCATGTGTGAGACTCCATGTGATTCCCATGAAATGTTACCTCATTCTCAGCCACCCCAGGTCCATCAGCAGCAGCCTGTGTGCTGTTATGGATGCTGAACACATTTCAGCCGAGCTTCTAGACAAAAATGAACAAGGAAGAAATGCCTGGCCTTCTACGCCTGAAAATCAGTCAATGAAAACCCAATGCATCACAATGGAATAATGTCAAATCTGCAAGTGACAGCGGTACTGTTACAGAACAGGACAACATTTAATTCCCATGAGGAGGAGTCAGCACAATAGCAGATGACAACATAGAACTAGCCATCCATCCACCAGTTGGGGTTGGGGTGGGGGAAACGAGGGAGGCCAGGTAAAGACTGTGAGGAAAAACCTGATGGAAACAGAGTTAATGTTCATCTGCCCACATTCAAAATGTGATTTTCCAGTAGGCTTGAAATGCAGGCATTGTAAAGAAAGAAAAGGCTTTCTAAATGCTGTCCTGAGACGTATATGTGTGGAAATGGAGAAAACCCAATCTTTTCATGTTACCACAAGAGTGTGTTAAAGAAAAAACTGTACTTTACACAGTTTTTAACAATGTGGGAAACTGCCTCAGTTATAATGTTTTCAAGTCGGACAGAACATGGTCTATGAAATATCATCACAATGCTGAAAGAAATTTAAACCTGCGCATGCAAAAAATAAAAGATGGAAAGAAACCATAGCAGGATTTTGACTATTTATATTTGGATTTGTTACAACATGAGTGCTATTTCTCTTTTTCTTCAACTTTTCTGTAATTTTCAACTTTTTTCTTCTATAAATGATGATGTTGAGTTTTTTACCCACTGGTATTGAGCCAATTTCCACTCAGGGACACCCCAGAGGCTGCAGAGCACAACTACTCCTTTGGGTTATTTTGGTTGTAATCTTTACAGAAGCCTTTACTTCGGCCCTCCTGGATGGATTAGAATACCAACCTTTAGGGTAATGTTGGTGGGAGTGCCATAGAGTCAGTTCTGACTCCTAGTAACCCTGTATAGGGTTTCCAAAGAGTGACAGGTGAGATTAAACCACCAACCCTGTGGTTTACAGTCCAGTGCTTATCCTACAGCGCCACACCAGGAGTCCTGTAGGGTCGATGTTGTTGTTAAGTACCGTTGAATCAGTTCTGACTCATAGCAACCCTTTACAGGGTTTCCAAGGAACAGCTGGTGGGTTTGAACTGTGGACTTTGTGGTTTGCAGTCTAGTGCTGATCCTAGTTAAATGCACATCAGTTACTCCACTCACAGACCTTACAACACAAGTAGGTAAGATCAATTTCTAAGAAAAATTCATGATAAACAGAAAATGTGAATCAAAAAATTTTCTGAATCAGTATCTCGCAACCGTGGGTCCATGTTGAAATCATCTGGGAGCCAAACTCTAGGGATTCTCCTTCAGTTAGTCAGAGTGAAGGCTCAGGCACCCAGGGGAATTTTTCTAGGTGACTGTAATGTGCCACTAGGTAAGAAAACCCCTGTCTCACAGTACAAGTCCCTGGGAGGTACAATGCTTAACATGCTTGGCTCTTCACCAAAACGCTAGAAGTTTGAGTCCTTCCAGAGACCTCTTGGAAGAAAGTCCTCAGAATCTGCTTCCAAAAACCTCAGCCATTGAAAACTTTGTGGCGCATAGTCTTTCTCTAATACAACACAGGGTAGCATGCGTCAGAATTGACTTAATGGGATCTGATTTCTCTTCTTTCTGCCCCAGAGTAACTAGAGAAACAAACTGAGTTCCATATATTCAGATGAGATCAATGAACATTTATTGGGACCCTCTTGGGTGCCAGATTTTTAAGCTCAGCCCTCAACCCCCTTCTTCCTTTGGAGAGAGGAGTCGGCCGCTCAAATCCTCCCTTAATCTTTTAGATTAGCAGCTCTCAATTCAGAAGGTTTCTTAAAATACAGATGGTTGAGGCTCTGCAAGATGGCATGCTTGTGGCTGCCAGGTGCACCAGGGCAAAGACAGGTCATGCCCATGGCCACCAAGAGAGTGAGGGAACACCCTTGTATCCCCTTGCCAACAACATTTAGCATGCATCCTATGCCTCCAAACTGCTGTGTTGATTGACAGGTGCTCATCTCTCTCCTCCCTTGCAGCACTGCTCAGCTTCCTCTCCCAGTCATCTCTCAGTCCACATCTCTATCCTTTCCTCTTAATTCCCAGCTTCCAGCATTAGCACCCTTATTACAAAGCATCTGCTTGTTGCATCTGCCTACTCTGCCATCTTGCCCTGGAAGTCTTATTTTAAAGATTTATAAATGCCGTGGTTTTTTAAATTTTTTTATTTCTACCATTGATATATATAAATGATACAAGTTTAAAATACTTCCTTAAAATCAAATAAATTGTACCTTGTAGCAACAGTAAATAAATTTAAAAAACAGATGGTTGGACTCCATCTGTAGAATTTCTGATTCTGCAGGTCTAGGATGGGGCTCTGCAGGTCTAGGGACTACACTTTGAGAATAGCTCTCTGGGTACCTCAGGAATGTGAGAGAATGTTGTCACTGTGCTTCCTTCACTCTGGAGCAAACTACTTGATTCCCTAGAGAACACAGCTTTTCAGGAGGAACTCTCTTTCCATGAAATACTGTGGTCACAACCTGTAATTTTGTAGAATACAATTATTAGAGCTGAGCACAGAGGTTCTGCCTATATCCCAAGTCATATCATTGTTCCAGAAATTGGACTCGAGTGCCTAGGGGAATCATCTTCATCAAGGGATGAAGGACTGGGGAGGAATGAGGAACAGAGGGTCAGGCTTCCCTGGGAGAGCGAGAACCCTGGTTGGTCAACACATTCACTAGACCCCATCTCCTGCCCCCAACAAAATAAGAGTAAGAAACAAGGCATCAAATCCAAAACCTCATAAATTTTGGTTTCGTTAATTCAGAACTTGGGATACATCCTATAGAATTTAGGCTGGTTTATTTTGGTCCTGCTTATAAATAAAATTTTTGATAAACCAATCAATACTGAGGAAGGTGGTACATACATCTGTGTCT